AATTGCAAAGTTAAAGCGAGTTATGCAGAACTAACCCCTCAAGTTTGGTAAACTTCTTAAACCAACCCAAACTTCAATATATATATATATATATATATATATATATATATTAAACTAATATATATATATATACACACACACACATACATATCTGACGGGTATTATAATCGTCATCCTGTCGTCGACTGGTTTCAAGGGTTCTTGCATGCATGCATCAAGAGATTCGATCGTAGATTATGTAAATAAAGTGTGTATTTATTATGATATATGCGTACTTATCTACACCAATTGTTTCCTTTTATAACCACAAGGTTATCTTGTCGTTCGTGACTCATTGGTTTGAGCTTGGTTTTAAAGATCAAAAGCATAAGGAGCTTTCAGATTCAAATCCAAGCTAGAATAAAATTCCGCTTGTGGCCACGAAGGTTCAAATGCGGTGACTCCCGCTTGTGGCCACGGAGGTTCAAATGCGGTGGCAACGGGCCATCTGCAAAGCAGGTGTAGTTAGGTCGCATAGCGGGGTTTTTAAAAATTTATTAAATTGTTTATAACTTTATTTATATTTCGTGTATAACTGTACCGTTCCCTAGATCCTTGAAAACGCATTTTTGGGAATCTTTCTCCTGGGTGTTTGAGATTGCTTATAAAAGCTGTTTTTTAATTTATTTCATTCTGACACCGGTGATAAGCTATTTTCTGGTGTTTGGATAAGAAAAAAAAACTGCTTATATCGGTGTCAAACCGGTAATAAACTGTTTTTGATAAGTTAATCCTTCCTGACTTATGAAAAATTGCTTATTACCAATTTACAATTTTAACTCTGTTTTATTTAACTCTGGTTTGATACCACATAAGTTAATAAACACTTTTACAAAAAAATCATAAGTTGTTTTAAATAAACAAATCCCAAACACCCCAAGATTTTGGAAACATAATATCAAAATTATCTGGATAATTCAAAGATCGTGTATAAAACACTTTCGAAAATCTGTGATTTCGACCCTATTGCCTGGGATATCACGAAATCAGATTTAAGATAATCCAAGATCACAAACACAAAATATCTTGTTTGTTTATATTGCTTTAGAGACAAAAATCTGGCAAAATATCAGCATACACGAAGAGCATCGATCTGCAATCATCGAATGAAACCTTATATAACCACCGGCCGCTAAGTCGGTTATTTTTTGACGGGAAAGCGACTGTTCAAGTGTTTGGCTAGTAAACAACCACATGATCCATTTCTTACATACGAATTTATTTTCAGGTAGAGGGACCGCCGCTAGGGGCTTTGCCCCTTGGAACCCCACTAGGGGCGCTCCCCTGGGAAACCCCCCCCTTTTCCCGAGATCAATTTAACTTATCCGAGCGTGCACTCCGCACCTCCGAACTCGAATTATAGCTAAGTATAATTTCGGCTTGTCTCACATTAATCCCGATCATATGAAATGACTTGATGACACTAAAATCACCAACATTTCTCCCGTTTGAGGGCGATGACATGTGATGGTGGTGAATACAGAACAAGGTCTTTGATCTTCTTCTTACTTCTCCTTGCTATCGTATTCAAACACTAATACTTCACTGTTCGGTTTCAGGTGGAGTTTATGAAAATTGGCTCCAATTTACCCTTTTTGCAAGGTATATGGTGGAGTTGAGGGGAATGGTATAAAAAAAAACTTTTTTTATTCTCTTATTTGATTTATATTCTAAGTATAAATTCGATTCTCTCTCTATATATATGTAAGTATGTATGTATATAACGGGAGGTTCAAAGGAAAACCTTTAAAAAATGAAAAACTGAAGAACATTCTGGTAATTATTAATCTGAACAGTATGCACATGTGCATACAAGTAACTAAAATTGTTTCTTGGTTTTTATGCATGTGCGTATGTTATTGCACATGTATATACCGGACAAATTACTTGTATGCACATGTATATAACATCCAGATGAACGGTTACAAAGGTGTTTCTCAGTTTTTTTTTCTTCTACGACTTTTCTCTTAACTTGACCCTATGTGTGTGTGTATAGAGAGAAAGACGAACGATCGTGTGTGAATAGAAGTTAATGTGAGAAGTGTAAGAAGGTTTTTGGACTCTTCATCACTTTTAATCTTAAAACAACTCATAAATTGCACTTTAAAAAGGAATTGATTTAGTGGTTCTCTTCGATGATAGATTCAAGGGTGAAGAATATATATACAGGGTTGTGTTCCGATGAGAATGAAAGTTATGGTAAGAAGCATAAAAAGAGGTCTTCACCCATGGATGCACATTAGAATGGATGCATCAAATCAATCCCCATATCAAGAACGATTCATGGATGAATTTGTGAGTTTGAGATGAAAGGTGATCAAAAGTCCAGATCTCTTATTACGCTTCTCACCTTAACTCTGCTTCTCACACGATCATTCACCTGTGTATGTATATATTATAAGTCTACTCTCGAGAAACTTGCTCCTTTAGATGGATATGAATTTCGATGATGGTAAGGTTCGCATTTGCTATGCATGCAATTGACTTGAGAACAAGCTCCTCGAATGCATACATCTTGGTATAAATGAGAGCCACAAATATTTTGAGAATCAAAGACGTAATTTTTACTATATATTCATTGTTGAATATACTCATCAACAAAAAACAAAGACAAGTGAATAGATTCATCACTGAATATATAGAGCATATCTTCATTGATGAATATACTCATTGACGGTATACATATTTTGATGAAATTTTTATAGCGTATATTATCAATGAATACCCATCAAATTCTCACATGAACCCTCCCCTTCATATACATATATGTATATATAGGTCAACGAATTGCACCACATGGAACAACACTAACTTTAACCCATTACTCAGCCTTTAGTGATTATTAATCTGCTTTTCAGGCTTGCTATACAAATGTATATACAACTAAAGAAGGCCTTGTTGGAAACAAGATTTACATCTACAGAAAAAAGAAGCAACCTTAATCATGGCTTCCTAAACTATGATTCACCCCAACTTCCCCACAACAACTGCCCTCAAAACTATCAGCATCCCCACTGTTTTCACCTTCATCGGTCCGATTAGCAGGGTCAAAGAATAAGAATTTGATGCCTAACACTTGGGAGATGAGGCTTTTTCCTTCTCTTTCGCACTCTTGAACTCTTGTACAAGTAGATTATGAATTCTCACTCTTAAATTGGATGCTTCTTCAGGGTGAAACCATTGCTTGCCAAACTGATAATCAGGATACTACAGTTATTCACATGTGAATAGTAGCTAAAAGTATATTTGAAATACAGACGGGAGAGTCTTTTGTCAAATTCCCATACCCTGCTTTCGAGTGGGATATACTTAGATTTGTCTGATGAAATTGTGGGATACTAATAATTCATAATTATTGTTTAACTTGATTTGAAGGATATTTGGGACTTTAGCTGATAACTTAGTGTGTCAAATGAAAATGGGGAGTGAATACCAACTAAAAAGGTTGACCACGAAGGGAAGGAAAGCGTACCATCGATAAATCTTTCTTTCTGAGCCTGTCAGGAGCTTCTTTGATGAAACGTTCCATATAGAACAGAACAAAGAGCCCACAATCATATTCATTCCTCTGCTGCGGAACCTGGCCCGAGAAGTTGCAAACATTAGTGATTTATATCAATCTTTTACCCTTGTACTCAAAATCAAATTTATAATAACCCTTCTCAGTTCCCTACTTTCCAGAAAAGATCTCATAATTTCATATAACACAATTCATAGAAGATACAGAAATGAAAGAGAAAGTTGTCAATTACGAGTCTCATTTATACCGAAGTACTTGACATATGAGGAATTGAGTGAGGAATACTGCTTAGGATAAGCATCCCACGAGCAGTAAGAAAGTAAAATTCTGATTAGCAACAAGAACTCCAGGCAAGACAGCCTTGACAGAAACGGAAAGCAAACGACGTACAACTATCCAAGAGGCAGGTTTAAGAAAGATGTTTACCGTCACCCTTCTGTCATATATTCTACGATCAAGATTTTCCCATATCTCTTCTGTAATAGGGAGATCTAAAGGCTCTTCTGATTTTCTTAGGAAGCTCCACTCTTCTTTCAGAAATCTACAATCAAGTTAAACATTTATACAGCAAGCATCAATCTATTGAAGATCAAAACATATAAGAAAACTTTATTTTAACATGCATATTAGAACTAAATTTGTTGAAGATGGCAACATAGGTTTGTCCCATAATCATGTAGTTTAGTTGACAGCTATATATTATACCTTCTAATGTTATCAAAAAGTGATCTGCTATCATGTAGTCCGAGTGAGTCCAAATGAAGCAACATTGGCCCTAGTTCATCTTCCTTCGTAGGGATACATATTATCACCAGGCTCCAGTGAGCACTGCACAATCAAAGAGAACACTGAAGAAAGATATATGCATTGTGTGTATAAAAAGGTACTCACCCAGCAGTAAATAACTTAAGCAATCAGTAAAACTCAGGCATAAACCTTTTCGAGTTGCTTGAAAGATTCTACTTTTGTTTCCCTTAAATGAATAGTGGCGCAACCAGGACCATGCTTAGCACTCAATTCAACAAAGGGGTGTTAATACTTATGAAAACTCAAGCATGATCTTTGTTTCTGAACAGTGCCCATTCTCTACCATTCTTATGAAAATTGTAGATGGAGGTTTAGATCCCTCCTCTACATTACATCATATCCACAACATGCTAAATCTCATGTCTTACATCATCAATTTAAGTCATAATTATAAGATCAAGGGCAGAATGAGATTTATTGGGTTTGTTTGGTTTCGTTAATCACACTTCATCAGCATCTAACACACCCACAATCTCGCATCAACCTAAACAGTCRAGCACTGACAACCTCAGCTCTCAGAGGGCTGCCAGCAACTATGTTCACACAACAGACATCGTTGAGCAATTCTTAATTTTATGTTACAATCCCTGTTTATATAAGAACATGGTGAATGACACCTTGAGCATTTCAGGAATCATAAATGCTTCATACAAGTTCAAGAACTTACTTTTCATGTATCGGGAGAAGTATGTACGCTTTCTCAAATATGCTGACACCTTTCCACCACTTTCTGAACTTAAGAAATGAATCTTCCTTGTAGCTCAGCTACAACAAAAAAAACAAGTTATCCACCATCTAAAAGAAGGTTAAAGTAAAGAAATAAGAGCATCATCACATCATGCATTGAAAGGAACTCTCACAGCCATTAAACTTTACAATCATGCTTCGTTTTTGTTATATAAGCTTTAGTTTAAGCATGAAAAACAAAAGAATGAAAAGCACAAAACCAATAAGTAGAAACAAAGTAAGGCGCTGCTAGGCTATATCCTACGGTGTAAGTTCTGGATACTACAGATGATCTCTCCGTGTTGACAAGTCAAGGAGTATTAACAATTTGCATGTACAGCTTTATATATTAATATATTTTCAAATGTACAATATCAATCACATGATTCACATCATAATATTATAACGTATTGGATGTGGATATCAGATATCAGCGAAGTTCCCTGAGACAGATATTTTTAGTACATACATGGCCATAAAACTCGAGCAGATAATATCCACTTTGGTCGAATACAGATTCAGAAGATTCCCAGATTTCCACTTACATCCTACTTACTCAACATAAATAGTGCTTGGGAAATTTAAGATGCTACTGGTATCACCGATTCAGATGGCAGCATAATTAAATTGAGTATCGGAAGTGTTTTACGTTGCACACAATTCATGACAACTGTACTGGAAAAGTAGATACCTTTTCCAGCTTGTTATAGAAATATGTGTTGAAGAAATGAGAATTGCATGTTGCACTCTCAGATGAAGATGTTGGCTGCTGAAGATATCTATCCAAAAGAAAAGAAGGAAACATCAAAAAAATTAAAGGGAGAATGCTAATAGGACAAGATTTTTACATGACATCTGTATAAACTGCTTGAGCAAGCAAGCATAACTCACAGAGCATAATCGATAACAGGCCCTTGTTTGACACTGTATAAAGTATGTGATTTTATCTGAATCCAAAATCAACATGTTTGACACGGAATTCAATTCTTTTCCCCTATGGAAGTGGTTATAAAGGTCCACGAGTTATTGGTCTAACAAAAGAGTAAGTAGCTGCTACATATTTCACAGAATATAAATTTAAGTTTAATAAATCATAATCTGTTCTGCTCCTCATATTTATGACCTTCCACATACAAATGCAGATGACAAGTGTCAGAAAACATATGCCCGCAAAGAGTTTTATAATTATATAACGGAAACCCTTGGAAGCAGCGGTTAGTTTCTTATCTTGTAAGATTCTATAATGCAAGAAGCCAAGAACCATAAAAAATAATCAGAACATTGATTATCACTACATAATGCTAAAAGAAGTTAGCCATCTTCTGCTTGTCCACATGCCAAAGAACCATATTTTACAAGTACTTATTCTTTTCCTATCTTTATTCACATATTGGGGGTAAAGAACAACTAGGCGTGTTTAAATTGGGGCCTCAAAGAATGCCAAAGTTTATCGAACTCTTGCACAACAAAGCACTTACCGTATATAAAAATTCATGATAGCGGATGAAAGACATGCTTCAGGAGCAAGACATGCCATGTCTGCATAATTAACTTCAACTGAACCTGGGTCATCCCTATAAACTCACAATTGAAAATGGGGGAAGAAGAGAAAGGGATGCCAAAATAAAAAATTATGAAGAATTCCAAGGAGTGGATAACATCATCCAACATGATCAGAGGACAGCTTGTCATACCTTGATGGGTAGTAGACAGTAACATCTTTCATGCTGAAATTTGAATAGCATGAATCATATATTTGGCTCTCTTAGGTCATTATCACAAACATAAATGGAAGAAATCAATAAGAACTTAATTACCTGTCATCCAATTTTTCCCCATATTGTATAGTAGTCTGAATCAGAGGCTCCTCATCCACTAAATGATATGTTCGTCTCTGTTAAAAAAAAAGGGTACTGGAAATTAAAAGCAGAGAAATCACCAAATATACCCGCAAGATGACCCCATAAATTGGACTAAACCAAACCAAACAAAACAAACCTAGTAAACCCCACACAAAGGTAGGGTCAGCGGGTAGAATGTAAGCAAAACTTTCCTCTAATCCCAAGGGGTAGAGAGGCTATTTTCTGTGAAAACCACCGATTTGCAAAAAAAAAAAAACTAAAAAGAAACAAGAGAGCAAACTACAGATGAAAGTATGTGCAAACAAGCAATGGGTGTTGCAGGGATATATGTGAGAGAAATAGGTTAAAACAAACAAGGAACCAAAAAAGGCAGCATTGGCAACTACTAGTGCAAGAAGAAAAGCCAAGACAAGACTAGCGTCCAACAAAAAAGGCCGCTCAAAGTAGATACAGTAATAGGTAGGAAAGTTAGAAAAACCTAAGACACCCCTCTATCTAACATAAGACTCTGGTAACCTAACTACCACTGCGCTACCCCTCTCCTTGTCTCACCCTATATCTTCTCCAAACCCCCCCCCCCCTCTCGTCCAAGCAACAAATCCCCAACCATAATCTATTGTCGTAGTCCTGCGTCTCGAAGAGCTCCCATCTGGCCTCATGTCCATCCTCAACTCATCCCACGTCCTCGTCAGCCTGCCCCCCCCCCCTCCTTACCCCCTCGACCGTCATACCTTTCCCCTCACCAGTGCCATAATCTGTCATTCTGTCTCATGTGTACATGTCCAAACCACAGTAATCTTCACCTGAGCAACTCCCACCTCTGCATGAAAGACCTCATTGGATATCCTGTCCCACCACAAACCCACCTGAGCATCCTCATTTCGACAACTTCCAAATTCCTCGTCTATCCTGGCGGACCAAGGCTCCATTCTTCAGGCATCTTGGTGTCATAAGCATGACATTCACGAGCTATATTAAGTTGTTAGCCATCGCAGACCCGCCTCACCACACACACCCATACCTCAATTGGGATCTGGTCTAGGCGTACGGCCTTACCCCTACTCATCTTCCTAAGTGCCTCTTTCACCTCCCCAACCCCACACACTGGATTATTGCATGTAAATTAGTGGTCATTGTTCCAATAACATAGACCAACTTATTTGCATAAAGTAACAAACAGTGAGGTGACACTTGCAACACTAAAAAATAGAACCACAACATGCTTCAAGCATAAGTATCAATGATATTAAAGAAGCACAGAGCCCAATTCCACAAGGCAAAAATCCTGTCCTTCCAAGGATCGGGGACCAAACCGGTCCTTGACCACTTTTTTATTTTTTTAAATTATACAACATATATTGAAAATAATTCCTCGATAAGTGCTATTAATTTGTTTTGATCGTTACAACTTCTAAGTATAAAAGAATAAAATTCTTTCAGATGTGTATAAGATATAAATTTGAAGAAAAAATACGGATACTTTATCTGTAAAGAAAAGAGCAATAGCCAATAGAATTTTGCTCTTTTCTTTACAGATAAAGTATCCGTATTTTTTCTTCATGCCATTCTATGATTATGCATGTTCTATTGCTCTTTGTGTTTGTTGGACCTACATGCCATTCTACGATTATGCATGTTTGTCCTCTAGGTTATTTTCTTTTCCAAGTATACATTCACGAAAAAGGTCATCTAATTGTGATAACATATCAAATGCTGTAAGTAGAAAGAATATAAATAAAGAGCAGAGTAAACAGGCTGTTGGGAGAAGGTCAAATAGAGGACAAATATGAATAAATAACCAATGAAATAAGAAATAGAAAAACTGACAATACCATGAAAAGACAATGGAACTAACTTACATGTCTAGGCCTCAAATTTCTTGAAGGCTGGTCTTGATAAAAGTTTGTCCTGCCAAAAGAAGAAGAACTTCAAGATATACACAATAATTAAGTTCTTGAAATTTACATACTAACAAGAGTCTAGCTACGAGAATTAAAATATTAGTTAGAGACTGTAACAGTTACAAATAAGCCACTTCTATTAGTAGCAATTAAGATACAAAAGCTTAATTCTATTGAATAAGAAATCTGTATACGAGCCATGGAGTCAACCCAAAGTCTCAAACTAAGCACAAGGCAAAGTACTTTCAGGTCTAATACAGCTAGAATTAACGCATCTAAACCTAATATGACTCTTACTTCTCTAAAGTCCTGAAGTTGGAGGCCCCAACTTGAAAGGAACAGAAACAGCAATAGAACCTTCAAAACAAAAACACAATGCCCAAAACTGAATGCATCAAGCTTCAAGGGCCAAGACTGAACAGAAAAAACAATGAAATTACCAGTAGTGGTTAGGATGACTCTTCACCAAAAATGTTACCGCGAATCTCACTACTAAAGATTGACGCCAGTGGCAAGAAAGCATGGTCGGATAAGGCTCACATGAGCTAAAATAGGTTCATATGGCGTCAAACCGACTCCATACAAGTCAAGAGTCAGAAGTATGTAAGAAGTAACAAAGAATCACTAGTAGGTGGTGGTTTAACGCCATGGATGCTCAGACATGTGCGACAGGCAACACTACAGGTAAGATATTGCACGTGTGTAGAACTTCAACGAAGTGACTGAGTATCACCGGATCAAAGGATCTCTGGTAGGTGTCTAGGTGATGACTCCTTTCTTTTTCTCTGAGTATGGCCAGGCATGGTTCCATACAAGACAAGAAAAAGAAGTTGAAGCCATAGACAGCAGTGATCTAGGACAAGAAGAATAGCAAGGTGAACGATTTAAGTTTGCGGTATTTTCAGTCTTTTTGATTCGTCTTTTTTGTTTGTCTTTTTGGTTACTTAGGGACAAGTAACAATTTGAGCTTGAGGGTGTGATAACTCTCATTTTTAGGGTTATTTACAACTTGTTTCCCCTTTTATTCACACATTTAGTGTTGTAATTTATTCTTTTGTGTGTATCTGTTCCTTTCTTAGTCTTTTTCTTTTCCTGGAGCTATTAGTATAGTTCAGTCATATGTTTGTGTTTTGGTTCCAATTTTTTACTGGCTGCAAAACATGTGAAAGCATTTCTTATAGAATTGTTGTAGCAATTTATTGCTACCATGTTTTATTGGCTTTCTGCAAATGTTGGCACCTCAGTAGAGTCACCAGATAGGCCGATACCATGTTTTAACTTACAAGTTCACCAATCACCACAAACCAGAATATTATTCCTAGTATCTTACCATCCTCCGAATCCAATGTTCTCTCTATCTACTACTCTAAGCTTTGAAGTCCAATCCCAGTGGATACCATACTTGGTTCTTACTACTTTATTAATTGTTAAAGGCAATAGCTAAGATTTGTGTGCAATTGCATATATCTTTTGCTTTTTTTGTGCTCATAAAGGCCTTGCGCACAAATATCACACGACAATTTCACCAAGGAGTTAAACAATAAAACCACATACGATGACACTCTAATGAAGCCAATATAGCTGAAATTGCAACTGCATCCTACATATTTATTGATGTCAACTTCTACTTTAGAGAATTAAATAGCATAAACATAAGCAGTAACATGGTCCCCACAGGAAAACAGCTGTAGTTGCTGCATAACAAGGTTCTTCAATAGTTGAACACATAAACGTTTAGTACCAAATATGGCCATCAGACATGTTATCTGAAAAAGTAACCGGATGGGGTTTGCAGATTATATACCTCAAGCAGTTACATAACTTTGACATGCACCAGGATAAAATATCAAAAATCACCAACGGGTAAAGACGCTTTGAACACTCAAAAAAGTAATATTATGCACTGTGTTCTTTGTCCCAATTTACCAAAGAGAGAAAAGTTTCAATTGTTTGGTACATGTACAGCCTTCTCTATACAAGTTCTCGGACGAGGTTTTTGCACAAAACTTTGATAGGCAAAAAGTGTAAGCACCATGAGGTGTGAAACGTGCAATCCTACATGTTCGGACCTCTTTTGTTGCGCAATCATCTAAACAATATACTCACTATAGCTTAACTGACTTCAAATATCAATTAATTTCATGTTGCAGAGATATATGCTCAAAATTTAGGTCATGTGCACATTTATTATAGCCACAATGACAACAAGCTACACTTAATCCCCTGTCAAGATAATCAAATTATTATTAAACAGATTACAGTTTAATGCCCATCTTTTCTCTGTTTAGTCTGTAACTGAAGTCCAAACTCTAAAGCGTAAGATGAATAACAATATTATGGTCCTAGCCATTAAATCAAAGCTGATTGCACCTGTTTGGCAGATAAATAGATGATGAAGAATAACTTCAAGAATTAGTGCCAGGCCTTCTGAAGGAGATGATGAGAACATCATAACAACATCTAGATGGAGATAATTTTCCTTACTCTGAGAAAGAACATGACTTGTTTCCCGCAAGGTGGTCAGGGGAAGAGGTAGCAGAATTATTCTCCTTTTTGTCATCATTGGAGATTATCAGTTTCTCACTATCTACTGAAGGAGTCCTCGGAGATCGCAAAGATTCTTGTGTTGATGCTGGTCTGGAAGATAATCCCATTCTGGATCTTCTCTTTCCCAAAAGCTGACTATTTGGTTTCACTTTTTTCCCTTGACAAGGATTGATGAAAGATAAATCGTCTTCAAAAGCATTGACAGTCCTAGAATCCTTCTGCTAATCAACAAACAAAATACAGGTGTGTGTACTCTCCTTTGCTAAGAACCAGAAAGAAAAGGAAAGTAAATGATGCAGGTATAGTAGAGAATCCTACATCTTTCTCCAACCTATTGCAAAAAAGTTTGGCAAACGTCGATGTAGATAAAGATTTCTGATCACCTTTCTTTTTCCCACACGAAGCACCTATAGAAAAGCAATGCAGCTGATTACACGCAAATAGAAATAGATGATGCAATATTTCCAAAGGAGTGAATTGTTTTACTTATGTTCTAATAGCATATTTCAATCCTAGCATCTACAAAGACTAATATTTTGGTACAAACCCAGCCCAATAAAAGAAATTGCTAATTGCTCAAAAGGTGAGACAATCAATTAGGAGAACAAGTGGATGCCACCCCTTACAGGATAGAGTACTCTCCCACGCAAGTCACATAGAAGAAAATTTCTTGCAATCCTTAAAGTAAAGAGCACTGACAAGAAGTGCATATGCAGTATGCAGATCAATATAATGAATAGGTTTACATATTTACGGTCTCAGTTTGCCACAATATTGCACTCTATATCTTATTGTTATTTCATCCATGATATATTTAACAGTTCTCATGAAAAGCGTCAGTTGGGAAATGCTTAGGCTCTACCAAAAATAATAGAGTTGGAAGTAATGTGGTGACCCACAAGCATCTTGAAAGCCGTATGCCCATACACATCATCTTCTATTACAGATGGTTCATAAACCAAGAAATATGTAAATGTACATCAACTTTGATATAGTTTTCTGGCAGTTAATCTTACCGTCATCACTATGATCAGAAAGTTGTATTGTCTCCTCACATCCATTATGACCCTGTTAAGAGAAGATGATAACACACCCATGGTCAAATACCAATTCACGGATAAGTAAATCATCACAACAGCCATGTCATGTCCTGATGTCCAATGTAAGAAGTAAACTCCATCAGAATAGTGCTACAATCTCTTACGATTTTAAAACTCTTCATTATAGATGTTCATTGATAACACCCCTAGTCAAATCTATTAATTATCTGAGGACAACAGCAATTGCATTAGGTCCTGATATTTGAAACTGAGCAGACATGCACATATATATAAATTAGAAACCATGGGAGGATGGACAAATTGTCTACAATTTACCTCTCAGTGGACAAAATGAAGACAGCCAAAAATTAACAGAACCAGGTAACTGGAATAAGGATGCATACATGATAAATCTGATGACATGCGTTCACAAATGCGCAACTAGATCCTCATTTCTATAAGAACGCCCTAACAAGATATGGAAGCTACCTGCCATGCTTATTCGACTCCCTATATAGAATATCATACAGCATAAGGCATGTTCATATCAAAATTGAAACTTCAAAAGAAATCTATCTCAATAAATTGTTCCTGTGCGCTTAAGGGAATCACAACCTACTACTAAAACAAACTTCATAGAGCAACTTGGGCACACCTTTACAACATATTCCCAGAGAAAATTCCATCATAGAAACATGAAAAAACAATATCCCCTAAACTAATCCCTGATTTTCAGTCCATACATCCACCAATTTTGCCATATCCCCTCTCTTTGCACCTCGGAGACCACAAGAACCAGCCTTTTCTATTCATTCCAATGGACTGAATCCAAAACAATTCAAAATTACTCAGAAATAAGAAAATTTTCCCACCAGAAAGACTAATCCAATCCATAACAATGCCTCAAGCTGAGATAGTCAATCAATGCATACTATTCCTACTTTTATGGAGAATGTGCAAGTTATAATATTTAAAAGCATTGCATTGACATAAAAGGGGGCAGACAAGGCAAAACCTTCTCCGATTGGAGTTTCTTTCTCCGTTCGAGTTCCTCTACGTGTCTCCGGAAAGTTGCCTTGAGCTTTTCGCCCTTATCAGGCAACTTCGAACTTAATGTTTGCATGACTGTTTTATGCCTCGCAATATACTCGTTAATTTCATGGTCCGATTTCGAGAGTAGTTCAAAGTGTTCCTTTTGATCCTGTTCCGCATCTCCTCCACTACTGCCGTCTTTGGATTTCTTCTCAGATTTCACCACAAGTTCCGGCGGCCGATCGTCGTCAGCGGAAGCCGTAGGTAAGAGCTGTTCCCAGTCAAGAGTCAAGGGCTCGTTTCTCTTGACTCCGTTGCAGGCGTTTTCTTGTTCGATTTCCATGCATAAAATCGTCGGTGATGTTGGTGTGGACAGTGTTTGCAGAAGAGGGATTGACTGAAAGGGGGGTGTGTTGAGAGAGACGACGAGCGCTGATTGAGAATTTCTAATGTGGTTCAGGGGTGTGCTGCACCCACCATCCTTGGGCCGTGAGGAGAGAGAGAGAAATAGGAATTTTTCTTTCCTTTGAAAAATAAACAAAAATAAGGGCCGATTATCATCCGTTTTATCATTTATCTTATGGGATAACATTTTTGATAATTAAAATGGATTGATGGAAATGTTTATAATCGGGTAAGTATCATCACTCTTATTTACCGAATAAAACTCTCGATCTTTGTCTTCCTTCTTACTGGGTAAGATTTTCAGTCTTGTTATGTTCACCTGATAAGGTTATTGAATCAGTAAGCGCTTACTAATATAAGTGTTTAGTAAACGGCCTCAGTGGTGTTTGGTTTATTGGAATCCCACGGAATTTGAAAGAATTGAAAAGTCAATTCAGTTGATTAAATTTCATTCATAATTTTGGTTCATTCTTTAGGTTTTGGTAAGGAATTCTTTAATGTTAGAATGTAAATTTCTTTGGTTCAGGAATTTCAAGTCCTTCCTACCATCTTTTAAGAAAAACTATTGAACTTTTATATTTAATTTATTTCATTTCATCCCACCATAATGTACGTCAGCATCGATGTCGCTACAACAACCACCGTCGTTGTCGCCACCACCATCGTCGTCGCCATCATAGGAAAGACTTGTTCTGTGCATTCCTTTCTTTCTAAAGATAGGATAGGGAAATCCTTTCCAAGTAATGCGCAAGCAGGGTTCTCGCTCAAATCAGAACCTTTATGCATTGGTAAAGCTCTTGAAGAAGGGAGAGTCAATTTGGAAGCGGACTCGTACAAGGATATTTAGTAGATGGTTGATGTATCAGACTTGACAGGCAAGCAAGGAAGGCAATTCAATAGCTCTCCGATGGGCAAGTCACTCTCTCTTTGTTAGTAGAATGACTAAATATCAGAATTTTCACATTTGTGACATATTTCATGTCACTCATTCCTTTGTTTTTCAAGTTTATAGTTCGGAGTTGAACGTTTACTCAACGAGGTTTGAAGAGTCAAATTTTCTGTTTTGAAGACCGTTTTGCACAGCTGAGGGAAAACTTGTAGAACTCGGTCAATTTTCATCCAAAATGGTTGAAGCAAAGCTTGTTAATAAGCTAAGAGGCTGGAGTTCAAATGTGCATGTTTTATGTTTTCTCTCAATCAGGCTCCTTGATGGTCAAAAACAGCGATGAAGTTGAGTCATGAAAGCTGGACAAAAAGTGCAAATTGTCTCGGTTTTTCAAGAATATGAGCCCACATTTGAGGGGGAGCTTGTAACGCCTTGAATACTTGAAGAATGGCACATAAGTGCTTCTAAATAAATCAAGAGGGAGTTTATATGATGATGCTTTCTTTATAAAACAAGGGGGAGATTGTTAGATAAAATTATCCCCTAATTTTATGAATGTTTTATAAAGATTTGTATTTTGGACTTTTAGGGAGTTTATGGGCTTGGGCTATTTGTCTTGTAAATGACCCTATATATAGGCTTCATGGGCTAAGATTTTAGGGCTATTCATTCTATTTTCATTTTACATGAGAGTCGTCTAAAAGATTGAGAGAACTTTGTATTTTCTGTTTTCATGAATAAATGAATCTAGCCGGTTTTCATCATGTTCACGTTTATCATCTTTCTCGAATCTCAATCTAAATCTTGAATATCTACATTTCTATGGAGTTTTCTTAATTGTTGTCAAGTTGGGATCTTACAGCTGTAGACTCCAAGGCATAACCCCAAAAGGATAGAGGCAAGGTAGTTTGGCTCATCATAGATTGAACCATATCAAGTAAGGTTCAATTTCTTCTTTTAGACACACCATTATGTTGTGGTGTTTCTGGTGGAATGAATTATGAGACAATCCCACGATTCGTTAGATGATCCTAAAATTCTTGGCTTATATATTGACCACCTTGATCAGATCGAATAGCTTTTATGGTTTTACCAAGCTGATTTTCTACTTCATTTTGGAAGGCTTTGAATATTTCAAAAACTTCATGTTTATTCTCATCAAGTAGACATAACCATATCAGCTGAAATCGTCGGTAAATAAAATGAAGTAGCTTCTACCATCTCTTGACATGTACCTAAAAGGTCCACATACATCAGTATATATAAATCCTAATATATCATTTGGCCTTTATCCTTTACCAGTGAAAGAGTTTTTAGTCATGTTTCCACTTAAACAAGACTCACATACATCAAATGACTCAGAGCATGTTGATTCCAAAATTCCGTCTGATTGGAATTTTGTTATGCAACTCTTGTTTATGTGATCAAGACGACAATGCTACATACATGATTTATTTAAATCAGGCTTAAATCTTTTGGCGTCACAGGTATAGACAAATTTACTTTGAGATATCATCATGCATAACAACTTCATGAATACCATTATGAGAAATAACATCAAAATAAAATAAGGTATCCTTATGAATTGAAATGCCATAATCTGTAAAAGCAGGTATAGAACCTGATTGTCTCAGATGGGACACTGAAATAATTCCAACATAAATACTTGGAGCATAATGACAATTGTCCAAGATTAAAGTAAGACCACTTGGTGATTTCATCTCTTAGCTTCTAATGGCTTCCACATAAGCACATGCCTTATTGCCAAAGAACAAATCTAAGTCGCCTTGTTCCAGTTTCTTACTTTTTCTCATTTCTTGCACATTATTACAAATATGACTTTTACAACCAGTATCAAGTACCCAGGAATTTGATGAAAAAGCATAAATTTCTATCACATAGATACCACCTGATTTGTCGGACTCTCTAGCTTTACCTTTCTCTAGCTCAGCATGGTAGGCAAGACAGTTCCTCTCTAGTGACATATCTTACCATGATGGTAACATTCGACATCATTAGCAGAGTTTTCCCTTTTTTTCTTAGATCGAATAGCAATCCTTTTGCTTTCTTCCTATGAATGCAACCTTTTCCTTGGCCCAGCAAGAGCGTTTAATTCAACAGCTTGCATTGGGTGTAACCCTGACTCGGGATTCTCCCACTTATTTGAAAGCTCATTTTTAGCTTGCTATGTAAACCTTTTCTTCATCTCTTTGATAATCCCAAATGGTCCATAGGGTTCCAATTCCTCCTAAGATCAAGGATCATGCTAGAAACTTCATGTTGCTTATCGAACATTTTTAAACGAAGCTTTATGTCGATGATCAGGGGCTCGGTCAGATGGTGGTAAAGGAAAATGGTTTCTCGAGAACGTGTAACTTGTTCTTATGCCTAAGGATAATCATTAAGGTGCGTTAACAATCAAGAAAACTTGCACCTTTCAGTTTCTTCTTCTCCAATAGAAAACGGAGTGACAAGTTGTTTACGAGTATGATCAACATCTACAAAACAAATAAAGTTCCATCTATTTTAGTATTTTCTATATTAATCCTTTAAAACTTAATTACCCTTGTTTTATCCAAAAACATTAATTTTGTAAAGGCTAAGATTCACATCAAAGCTTGTCATCATATGCAGTTAATCATACATACAATAATAAATTCAATTGGTAGGTAACGAGTACCAATTGCATTACAAGTGCAACTCTTAGGTCTTTGGGAGTTGGAACAGCTGTGTCCAATTGGCATGTTTAGTCTTTGCCTAGAGCTTAGTTCTTACCAAAACGTTGGTTAAGTTGTCAAATTTAGAACTGTGATGATTTGACTTAGGTCTTACTAGTACGCAAATTCATCACCTTGGGACTTCAATATGACCAGCTCTTAGCAATACCCAAAAATTACAGTGCCTATCCCAACGATTTCACGACATGGCATTAAATTTAAAAGAGCATTATTTTGCATAATCGCTATTTTTTCAAAAGCGTGTTATGAAAATTTGCATGCATCCAAAAATTCGTTACACTATTTGTTAAACCAGTTTTAACTTATCTCTATGGAAATAATGAGTTTTTGTTAAACAAGATGCTCTTAAAACTTAAAATTTATTAGAGAAATATATTATTTTAATTGTATCCACGTTGAATGTATCACAACTTTTTAAAAGTTCTTTTAAAAATGTAACGAGATGATAAATCTATAAAATATTTTAATAATATAACCAATGTTGAAAATTTTAAAATAAAGTAGTTGCTGAAGTTAAATATAACCCTTTTAAATATTTTGATTTTCAATACTGTATTTAAAAAAAATATAACATAACTGTTGAAAATGTTTAATATACTCATTTAAAGTATGGAAACAGAAGTGAATAAGCTACATCAATCATTCAAGCATCACATAAAAAATTCCGATACCAATCAAGTGTTTCGTTGATTAGACTTACTGTTAACCGAAATGTCTACCGTTAGCGTATTCTTATTAAAAAAAAGTTACATAAACGCAACTAAAATGTCGAGATAGACCATGATTTAGCACTATTGAATTGCTCCAAAATTGTGTAATTTGAATGTAGTTAAATACAAAATATAAATAATGTGAAATTTATGCATTTTATAATATTGATCATCATGTACAATTTTTTATATGTATCATAAAATTTTAGAGATTAAATTTAATGATTTATTTCTAATCAAATACATTAAACTTTCTTGTAAACATGTTACAATTTTTGTAGTTATCATTATAATTAATATCATTAATATATCTTCATTGTTTATAACGACAAAAAACGTGTATTACTGTCATATGTTATTTCATATAAGAATAACGGTGATCTTATGGTGATAACTATTGTGGTATGTATGAATTTGCCCGAGGGTTTAATTTTTTTTATAACAGTTTCTAAATTATTACGTTGATGTCTGAAAATAGAATAAAACTTATCATGGGATGAAGTTATTAGTAATTTACAATCAATGACTCACAATACTCACAACTAAAACCGCTAACTGATGTGAGACGAATTCTTACATTTTCGACAAGAAAAAATGATGTTTATCGTCTTAAACTTATTGTAAAATTGAATCTCGAAAGAATTTACAGTAAAAACGAGACTTAATACATAGTGAAACTGAAACCAATAGTTGATCGTTCAAATGAATCAATCGAAGATCATCTATGCCTGGTTT